ACCAGAGCAGACCACGGCACTTGGTGGGTGCAGAAGAAAGGTGACCGTGCCTGTAATGGCCCATGCAGCACCACCAAGGGTTTTTCCTCCCAGGTTCCTGTGATTTTGAGCTGGACACGTGCGGCTGGAGCAGCCCCTCGGATGACCACCCGCATGGCTTCGCCTGGGGCCAGAAGAGCGGGGTCCCCCTTGCAAAGTACCCTGGCCCTGAGCAGGATCACACGCTGGGCACAAAGGATGGTAGGAGACCATCAGGGTGTCCCAACATGGCCAGGTAGACTGGAGGAGCTGGAAATCGACAGGGTCACCCGCGCTTGCCTCCCTGGAGCATCCCAGAGGGCTGGGCAAGCAGCCTTAATAGCCATGCCTCCTTGCCAGCTCCACCCTGGCCTCAGGTCGGTCTGAAACGGGACCAAGTGGGGCAGATCCTCCACCCTATGGCAAGCAGACACCCACCCAAGTGGCACCAACCAGCACAGCCCCACTGCAGGGCCCAGCCCTGAGCACGTGGTGGGGACGGCTGGCTCCACTGCCTCCCGTCCCCCTCCCCTGAGAGGGGCTGCTCAGCCCCAAGGGCAGCGAGGAGCCGGGGAAGGCAAGCCTTGGAGTGGTATCTGGGGTGCAGGACAGAAGGCGACCCTGTCCCTTGTTCCTGCTTGTGCAGGTCACTACATGTACTTTGACGCCAGCGTGCTGGGCCCAGCGGGCACTGCTGCTCAGCTGGAGAGCCCACACCTGCCTGCAGCTGCCGACTCCTGCCTCCACTTCTGGTACCACATGGACATCCCAGAGCACCTCCGTAAGTGCTGCTCCACTCGTGGGGGCTGGAGCCAGGCACAGCGAAAGCAGGGAGGACAGGGAGGAAGATACTGTCCCCGGGGAGGTTCCTGGGCAGATGAGCTCATGATGGGAGCTGGGGGCTTAATCAAGGACTGCCACCCTCCTGATCCAGCTCCGGTTGTGCAGCAGAGAGGGTCTGTTCCTGGTGGGCTCTGCCTTCCCCATAGGGGACAGCATGGCTGAAAAGGCACAGCTGCTCTCTGCAAGCCTCTGGCTGGCTCCTTGGCATTGATGCTGGGGATGCCTGTCTCGCTCCTGTATTGCAGCTGGCGGGGAGCTGCGTGTGAGGCTGCACAGCGCCGAGGGGCAGCGCACGGTGTGGAGCATGGCAGGGCACCAGGGCTGGGGCTGGCTGAGCGCCACTGTGCCTGTGCAGAGCCCCAGCGAGTTCCAGGTGAGCAGGGCCATGTGCTCCAGCCAGTCCAGCCAGCCTGCACCCCTGCTGCAGGGTGCCCTCCCAGCACAATGTCACGCCGCATCTTGTCTTCCTACAGATCGCCTTTGAGATCACCACCAGGACATGGCCAATAAAAGGGACCATCGCACTGGACGACGTAGAGTACAGTGCTGGGAGGGGCTGCAATCCCAGCCCAGACATACCTGGGAAAGGTGAGGGGCTCTTTCTGGCTGAAGCAGCTCTGAGCAACAGCATCCCATGCGCTTTCCACACACGCCCAGCCCCAGCAAGCTGCCAGCGGGGTGGCGTGGATTGGGGGGTCCTATGCAACAGAGCAGCTCACACCAGCCGCCAGAGGCAGAGCTGGGCACAGATGCTCATTTGACCTCGCATTTCAGCACCCAGAGCACAGGATTTTATACTCCCTACCTTTTGAGAAGGCTATGGGGAGGCTGATGGTACAAAACAGCCGCATCCAGAACAGCAGATGCATTTTGACTGCATGGGAGAAGAGCAGGGGACAACAGAGCATCTTTTTAGCGGCACACAAAGGCTCACTGCACGCTGCCTTAGGGGCACCCCGCTGGCAGAAATAACATACAGCGAGCATCATCAGTGCAGGACACCCTCGAGGAACGGGTTGCTCTGCTGGGTCCTGTGAGATGCGCTGGACAGGGCATGAAGGGTTAACCCTGAATCACTCAGGCCACTGGGGCTTTTGTAGAGGCCTGAAGCAGCCCTCCTTGACCACAGGTCTGGCCTAGCAGCATCTCCTTTTGCTTACAGAGAAGAAGTCTTCCAGCAGCTTTGTGGCAGAGGTGGTGATCAGCCTTCTCCTGGCCCTCATAGTCCTGGCCCTGGTAGCAGCAGGTGGATATTACTTGCTGAAGAGGAGAGGGCAAGCGAGCAGGATGCCTGCAGAGAGCAGTGCCCCCCAGGGCTTCGACAACATCACTTTTCAAGATGTAAGGAGTTGACCCTGACCCTCGGGAGGGGTGGGAAGGGCTCTTCTGTTTGCCCAGCTGCCCAAGCCAGCACATCGGCAGGCTCTGAAACAGCACTTTCTGAAAGTTCAGCAATTCCTGACAAGCCCCCAGTCAGTCCACAGTCTGCAAACACATCAGAAAGGTGCAAAGGCCTCTTGTTTCTTATCTGATAGCCAGCAAATGAGTGACTCCAGAGTTGTAGGACTGACCTAGAAATGTTGCTGATGCGATCAGGCAATTGTTTCAGAAACAGCTGAGGCTGAGATCCCTCTCCCTAGTGCCCTACCAGTGAGGAGGTCCTGCAAATATTCCTCATCCTCTTCTATCCAGCAACTTAAAATCTTCTCTGGCAGCTTAAACAACATTTGGTTTCCTTCCACCAGTTTGGTGCCATCTAGTCCCCAGCAGAGCTGCTCGGATAGAAACACTGACAGTTGCTCCAGGACTGATCCCAAAAGAGGACATGAAGCCCATTTGGCCTTTTTAGGTTGTTTATTTGTTGGCATTAAAGTGTGCCGACAGGTTCCCCCCTCTACTACCTGGAAGAGGTCAATGTATTTCCTGTGAGATATAGCCTATGCTGATTACAACCAATTTATGTTCACCTTTCTTTACAGGACAAGGTCATTATATCTCCACTACCAAAGGAGGGGGATGAAGATTGAAATATTAAGTCAACACCACTAATTGCCACCTTGTGCCCGTTAGCTGCATACAGAACAGAGCATCTTTCAGCAAGACCTCACACTCCCGCAGCCTAGTCTGGCTCTGAGGTACTCTTGCTGTCTGACATCGTGCCTATCAAATAAAAAGCTGCAGTAGGCACTTAAGACAAGGTCACAGCTCAGGAGAGAGAGAAGAGCTGCTTCCTCCACTACTTCCAAGACCTTGAGAAAAGCACTGTTGTGTAATATGAACTTTTTATACTGCACTGAGAAATCTTAACGTGCCTGTGCTTTGACAAACACAAACACTTAACAGAAGGATCTTGCAGCAGGAGTGGTCATCCTTTTCTGAGGAGAGCAGGATCCTGGCAATAGCAAGTTTCTCAAATGAAAGGGGTCTAAGCACATTCCTGCACCACCGTTGGGGATGGGAGGAAGATCATCTGGTGTGGCACGAGCTATTTCCCACACTTCAGGACTGCCTACACAGAACACAAGAAAACAAGTCCAATAGCTGCCAGGGCACAAAACGGCCATGGTGAGGAATACAGTGCTTCAGCTGTTTGTGTTTGGGGGGAAGAGGGGGAGGTCAGGTAGGGAAGTGAGCAGAGCAGGTGGTAGCATGTCACACAGCTGATGCCAGAGAACAGCCCTGACCCATCTGTATGGGTACTCACCTAGCACAGAACTGCCCACCCTTGTTTCAAGGGCCCTTGATAATTTGTGTTTAAATGTCATTGGAAAAGATAAGTTTCCTGAGGCACAAGCGAGGCTCTCAGCCAGAGAGCTCACCATTCCTGCAGCCAGGCCACAGGCCATCAGAGGAGACCCTAAGCCAAGGATTCCCCTCCCCCCACAACCAACTTTTGAAACCTATTTAATACTATTGCCCTAAGCAATCCATAGCCAAACCTACTACATAAGTACAACAGTAGACAAACCAGTTCTGCTTTTGTGCAGGAGAGTAGCCCATTAGCAAGTCTGCTCTCTTCAAAAACCTTTGTAGCTTGTTTGTGGCTTGCAACTTTCCTGGTTTTGGACAAAAGCCTCTTTTTCCTAATACGCTGCTACACAGGATTCTTCAGCTCTGTCCTGCTTGTATTATGACAAACTGTCACATCAAGCATGATCCTTAAACCTACATTTGCACCTGTCTTGGTGGTGCTACCCAGTAGGAAGGGAAACAAGCCTTTCAGCTAAGCTGTATTTCTGTAGCAGCATGCTAGGTAAGAGTGGTTACAAAAAGAGATAAGGAGGGTTCTGGCTTCATATAAATGCATGATTGTCTTTTCATCAGCCTTGCTCTTTAGAACTCCACAGAGACTCTACTCACCTTCTCTGCACAAGGTAAGAAACACTGTATTGATTTCATCTCCAGGATGCAAGCCAAAGCTGCAGTCCTAGTCTCCAGGGAAAGAAGCAGAACAGCTAGGAAGGTTGTGACTACGCCAGAAATTGGTGCAAAAGCAGTCTTCTCCCAAATGCTTTAGGTAGCCCTGTTAATTATATTTCTAAAAGAAAGAGGGTGCTACAGCACCACTCAGGTTCAACAGAGAATTACACTACCAGCTGGTGAACAGGCAGTGACTACCCATTGCAACTGAAGGGTATCAAACTTTATTATAGATCTCTTTAAAACAGGCTGGAAGGAACAAACAAAAATGTCATTGCAATGCAGTGACTGAGTCATTCAATTCAAATGCAGACACTGATCAACCCCCAACTCTCCCAAACTATTTATATATAATATATCCCACCCTCCCCCAAAATTGCTCCAATTAAATGATCCCACTTCAGATCACCCCAAGTGTCTTAACATTAGCTGCTTCTAAACACCAAGACGCACGTATTTTCTGGCAAATTAGATGCAGTTATTTTTTTGGGTTTAGTTCCTCAATCTCTGGAAAGGAGGAAGGAAAAACAAAACCAGGAAAATCGCTTCTTTAAGGTTGCCTTTTTACAGCAAGTACAGATTCTGCAGATTTCCCCCCCAAAGCAAGTCTGAAACCCTCTTGTTCAGCTTGGCAATACGATGAGAGATTCTGGTGGTTAAGGAGAACCAACCAGACGAGATCAGTCTTAACAAACTGATTTCGAGGCTTTGTTTTCATTTCCCTTTGGGGCCAGTTTCAAGTGGTTTTCCAATATCCTTCCCACGCAGTTTAAGGCCTGGAATAAGACAGAGAAGATAGCCTTCATCATCTGCTATGTTATGATCATTCACCTGATAGCTTTACTTCCTTAATCGTTGCTATAATGGAACATTGAAAAAAAGAGGACAAGGGACGAGGTTTAGGAAGAATCCCACTTTGGTTTGTAGGAGCATCAGACTAGTTACAGAGAAAGCTCCAATTCTTGCTTGTGCATTGACTGTGCTCCTAGGAAATAATATTTGAACAGGCCTAAGATAGCCACGTAAACATTAATGATTGCAAGATACTTTACTGAATTGACATCAATCCTTCAAGGGTCTCAGCATCTCTCTGATTTTGAGAGGACAGTACAGAGAAGGGCCCCAGGACGCCGTCCCATACATAAGGACGGTGCGGGGGGGGGGGGGGGGGGGAGGGGAGGAAAAAAAGGAGAACGAGGGCTTTGAGTTGTTTTAGTCAGCAGATCCAAGTATTATCAGAACATGGCCTAATGATACCCCACCTATAATAACCTATAGTCAGCAACTGTTCCTGCCACAGAAAGTATAAATAACTTAAACCAAAACATCCTTCATACTCACTGAAAACATTTGTTATTTTTGAAGTCTACTTCCTTAACTTACCAATGGCTCTTTCAATCTTGCCCATAACCTGGTTATTGGGGATTGCTCTTCCCGATTCATAGTCAGCAATAACTTGTGGTTTTTCATTGATTTTCTAAAAATAAAAAAAATAAAGAGGTGCCTCAAACATTGGCACAATTAACATTCAGAACCAAACCCCAAATACTCTATCACACTAATAAGTGGCAGCCTACAATCACGCCAGAATTGGAAGAGACAGCACTACTTATAGGCTTACTCCATCATCACGCTTTCCCCTCTGTCCAGTGTTTGAGTGCTACAGCGATGGTGACACCCATCAAGGACAGATTTTGACTTCTCTCATTCTCCCAGGAAGAACAATAATATTAAAGTGCTGTCGTTCATTAATACAGCAATGAGCTTCTAAACGCAGTATCAGACATAGATGGGACAAAAAAAACCCCTTGTGTCAACGCTAAGTTGATGTGATAAGGAAAAAAGAAAAAAAAAAAAGCCTCCCAGCAGCTCACTGGCCATAACACTGCTCAGTCACTAAGCCGATGTACAAAGGTCGCATAGATAAATCCCTGAGCTATTTCTTCGGTTACTAATTTTGCCTGGGAATCAGGCAAAGACATTACACTCGCCAAACTTCCAATTCTTGATACCATGCCACTGCAGCTACCCATGAGGAAAAATTTAAAAAAAGGTATCTATCTTCACCCCTCTAGGGGTGCCTAGACCCTTCCTCTAGAAAGCCGGAGCAGACATCAGAGAACACTGGGCAATACTTACTGTGGCCAAGTCCTTCTGTGTCATGCCCTTGCTCTGTCGACCCTGCTGGATTACTTTGCCCACCTCCAGGGGAACTCTGTCATGGTGCAGCTCTTCTGTTTCTCGGTCTAGCTTGGCTGTGTTCTTTGTAATAAAGTGTTGTTTGTTTTGGCCTGCTGCCCCTACCATTCAAAGCAAGAACAAAAAACAAGAACAAACAAAACAAGGCTCAGAGCTGCACAAAGTATCAAAGTGCTTGCTCTACATACTCAGCTGCCCAGGATCCCAGTGAGTTTTCAGGATTTTAACATGCCAACATCAGCATCAACCTCAGCCAGATCCTGCCAACTGCAGTTCAGAGAATGTGTTATCTTAATCCTGTTAAATGCTGACGTCTAAACAAAGTCATTCAGAACTCTTCCCTTTCTTTACTTCATTTCCAAACTTAACTCCATATACACAAGATTTTGTTACAGCTTAGGGGATTTACTATATGAACTTTTACCTTGTTTGCTTGGTTACAAGGCATCCTGAATATGTGGCTTCTGCTCAGTTTTCTGCTGCCTCTTAAACTCTAACCTTATTTAGTTTTGAGGAAAGCTAGAGGCTCTCATTTTAGTTAGAATGTTCAAGTCATAGTTAGAATCCCTTCTCTAACATTAGTGACCGAAATTCAGTGTCTTGATTAAGCTGACCAAACTTGAAACATTCTCTATTTTCTCCTGCTCAGAGGTTATCTATTTATTTATTAACAGCTATCCTAATCTCTTCCCAAGGTGAGAGAACATAAGAATTTACATCAGACAAAAAACAGGGAATTTTTAAAAGAACTATGCCACGGTAAAAAAGAGTAGTTATTCAAATTCTCAAGCATATATGTGATCAACAGTAAGAACACACTGTATAAATTGGGAGTTTAATCTAGAGTTTTGCTGTCATGAAGGCTTTTCCAAGACGTTTTAACTTAGGATCCCTAAAAATGTTAGTTTTCTTGTATCCATAATGATTCATAGAAAGAGGTTACATAGTCCATCTCTCTACTTAAAGAGAGTAATTGCTCTATGCATGTTATTGCTGGGCAAATTTGCCTAACGTGTTCACAGGAGACTCTGGCAATAACGGGCCCCGTTTTCCTCTCAGTCAGTAGTCAGAACAGACGCTGGGCAGAGATCAGATCTGGGTGACTGGATCAGCAGCAATTCAGGGATCGTTACAGTGAAGCATTCTTTGCTTTTTGCAGGAAGCCTGGAGGTTTTTTTTCAGGTCCCAGTTGTGGTCAGCTATGGCTTAGCTCAGAGGATATGCCGCTATTGTCTCAGATTATGCTAGTCAAAAGAAGCTTAACAGACCAAGCCTCAAGCAGAAGAAGCTAGCTTGAACCAAATGCTTTCAGCAAGAGCAAGAGGACTAAACACCCACTGCTAACATCATTTGCTGTTCACTGAACTAGGGCTCTTACAGGAGAGGATGTCTGCTTCATTTCACTTTGCAGGTCTCCCCAGACCTCCCAGTTTCCCTAAAAAATGACACTATTAGGCCATTTTTAGAACACAGAAATTGGTACAATCAAAAGACAACGGGCTTTTAGGCTATCCTGAAAGTTACTCAGGACATGAAAGTACTCTGCCCCCCTCACCACACACTGATACATACACTTCTTGGAGGTCTCCACATCCTCTCCTCGCCTCTGAGCTGCTAGGATCGCCTGGCAAAAAATGAAAAAAAAAAAA